TATGCTCGTTTTTGCTCCGTTTCAGAGAAATCGAAAAAAAATGTTTACATTTCTTGCCATATCTAGCACCGACATATTTGATTACATTTTCCACTTTCTGTTATGAATTTGTCAGTCGCTCTTTGAAAGCCTTTAACAGTAGATGAATTTTGTCTTTTGCAATATGCCGCGTACGTATTCTAATAGTGAATATGCTGATATGGTTTTTGTATACGGTTTCTGCAACGGTAATGCTTTAAAGGCGGTGCGAGAATATGCACGACGATTTCCAAACAGAAGAGTGCCAAACCGAAGAGTGTTTTTATATATATATATATATATATATATATATATGTATGTATGTATGTACCTGTATATATACATACAGGGTGTTAGTTAAGTATGTTGCCATTCAGTTACTCAACAGAGCAAGTAGGCCGGGCGAATTTGACTATTTTCATAAATTAACATCTCGTTAATTATTTCGAAAATTTTAAAATGATAAAGAAGATTTTCCGACTCAGTTTAGTCCGCTCTATTTACACAAAAGCGCTTTGCCAAAAAATACGTGCGTGCGTGCATGCATGCGTATAATGTTAATATTTGTTTAATGCTTTACAGTAACCGAATTTTCGAAGAAAAGTGGCGACTATATCAGTCTGTCTGCTACTGACATCAAGGTAATTGCGCTGACGTATCAGTTGGAGAAAGAAAAAGTTGGATCGGCACATCTGAAAGAGATTCCAACAATAAGAATTATTAAATCTACAGCTGATAAAGAAAGCAGGGATGATCTTAAACTGCCAGTTGGATTCTACATGCCGAAGAGAAAAGTAAGATATTTTAATTGTTTTTGTATATGTATAATTTTTATTAATCTAAATTTATATTCTATATTTAGGAGATAAATGAAGTGGTTACAGATAATTTAAAGGCTTCTTTGAATAATATGGAAAAAAAAGATGTGATTGAAGAAAATACACACACACATACACAGATTATACGTGATTCAGCGATAGATGATACAATAAATGGTACAGAGATAAATGATGTGAAAAAACAATTTACTCCTTACACATCTGCATCTTCGGACGAATCACAATCAGATTACGAAACGGCATCGGATAAAGAAGATGATAAAACAAATGATTTAGCTGATAAATTTGTCAAACTAAAGTGCAATCCAACTGATTTAAAAATAGAGAGTGTGGGCATGTATGCCATGGACGACAGTCTTGCTTCTGTTGATACAATGTCCAAAAGTGATGGATCATTTGAGGATAAAGATAAAGATGACAATGGTTGGATCACACCAGGTAAATTTTTTTTTTATCGATTATATTTTCATCAAAATCAACGCGTAAGTATACATCATTGAGATATGGATGTATACGAGGTGGGGCAGTAAGTATAACTCTGTCCACACTTAGAATATTTCCACTATTTTTAGAGACATGAAATAATATATTTATTGAAGTTGTATAGTATGAAGAGTGATTTAATATACCATGCTTAGCGCCGAGACACTACCGTGTCTCCAGACTACTAATAATTTTTCTATGGGTGGAGGTGCTTCAGAGATTCAAGGTCACCTCCACTTTTTTAGATGGAATTGTATGATTTTTTTTTACACAATGTTCCTCTAATTATTCTGCATACAAAAGTAAGTAAATGTTCATTTTAGGGGAGACCTCTTCGATGATTTTGACATATGTTGTCAAGATCATGACCCTAAGTAACCTCCAACAGAGTTTATATAAGTAATTATGTGTTTTCTTTCCATCAATTGATTCATCTCATTATTCTGCATATAAAAGTATTAAGGTACGATTATAAAAATCGTTTACGAGTTATTTAATATTGTATGTTAATATATTTCAGAATAAAGTATAAAATGTCTCATAAATTATTGGTTTTTTGATATCACTATCTCAATACTTTTATATGCAGAATAATTAGAGGAATCGTATTGTATAAAAAAAATCATACAATTCGATTTAAAAAGGGAAGGTAACCTTGAAATCTCCGAAGCGCCTCCATAGAAAAACTATTAGTAGTATATTGTACCCTACTTGATGCTATACAATTTCAATAAATATATTATTTTATATCTCTAAAAATAGCGGAAACATTCTAAGTGGACAGAGTTACTGCCCCACCCTATATATGTATAATATATTTTCAAGAGTATTAATTTTTAATCTCATTTACCTTTTCAAAAGCAAACGTTTCCAACATAAAGAAGCAAATGGATTCAGAAATTCTTGAAGAAAAGGCTGTGACTGTCGCGTGTTTAACTATGGATTTTGCAATGCAAAATGTACTCGTGCAAATGGGATTAAATGTAGTTGCATTAGATGGCAGAGTAATTAAACAGATGCGAACATTCATATTCAGATGTTATGCCTGTTTCAAGACCACTAGTATCATGACAAAGATCTTCTGTCCACATTGTGGTAACAAGACGCTGAAGAAAATAGAAGTCACATTAGATGAGAATGGAAAGCAACAAATTCATATCAATTTTCGACGACCTCTCTCGGCCAAAGGAAAGAGGGTAAACTATATTTTTTCTGATACAATCTATGAGTTATATGAATGCAAAAGATGGTAAAAGTAAAATTAATTAAATATTTCAGTTTTCGTTACCAACGCCAAAAGGTGGGAAACATGCTAACAATCCCATTTTATGCGCGGATCAACCGATGCCGGAACAACGGCCGTCACGTTTGGCACGCATAAAGAACGATCCGCTCGACGATGATTATATAGCTGGGTATTCTCCATTTGTTATGCGTGATATAAATTCGAAGTCAGCTATGCTGGGCATAAGACCGGATGGTATTATCAAATACTGGATGAAAAGAAACCCTAATGAATCCAAAAAGAGACGAAAATAAAAATTGTTTATTGTTAAATCAATGTTTTGGAGCTTTATGGATCCTTCACTATTACATTAAGAATTCTGTAAATGGCTTTATTTTAAATATGTATTTAAAATGGAAATGGCATTTCGCATTTTCCATTTTAAATGGTTTTTTGAAAACCATTTTCATTTTACATTTGAAATGGAATCATGTCTATCATTCAACTATTTATAAAATGGGTAAATGGTTTTTCTATGTTTTCATAAATTTTCCCTAGAATCCTCCATTGACGCATAAGAAGAACCAAGTCCCATGATTAGCCAAACATATTTTTGAATATTCAAATAAATTGCAAATTAAACTGTAAAGAGAAAATTAATTCCAGATAGTCCATAAATATCGAATCTCAATAAAAAAATGAATGTGTGTTCCAGCTTTATGTAAAATACTATATCATTGACCTTTAAACCTTGTTTATTATTTAATAAGTAAATATTTAGTAATAAATTCTTCATGTAGTGAGTAAGATCGTACTAATAGAAAAATATGGGATATGTTGAATTACTTGAATTACAGAAGTTAGATTTGATGATCGTAAAATATCGTAAGGCGTGGAAATCGTAATATGAGATACCCAGGATATTTATAATATTGAATGATCTATGCTCCTATGTAATAGTGAAAATCGTTGCTAAATGTTATTGTACAATAATAAAAAGGACAATCGGAATGAACATTGAGTGCCTATTTCTGCGATGCTTGGTTCCAACTACCTGAAGTCCTAGGTATAATACATCGCATGGTCATGTACGCGCATTGGCTGTGTTTGTTTGTATTTTAGAAACATTAAATAAAGTTTTTTAATTGCAATACTTTGCATTTTATCATCGATTTCCCAGGGCATCTCGTATTAGGAGCACAATTTTTTGACTTTACAGTTTGCTCACTTTTTACATTTCTTTAATTAAAAAAAAAATAGAATTTGAATTAAATTTCACATAACATTATCTTGAAGCTTATTAAATTCCCTTCAAAATGACATTATTTTTTAAAATTCTGCCCACAGATTTCTAAGCATTTACCCAAAATGAACTCGATATCTCATAATAGGGACCTTTCCTCTTCCAGATAGTACAAAGAGTTCAAAAAGAATTCAGTGATGTGTCATCAATGCCCATTATGAATATTTACGAAAAATTAAGAATTTCTAAGATCTTGTCTCAATTTATGTAGTTTTTCTGTACTTTTACGTAAAAATTTTTTTCCGTAAGGGCAGAAAAAATCATTTTGCATTCGGAAATCATTTGAAGTATCTATTTATCCATTTTACATTTAAAATGGATTCGAAAAACTTATTTAACATTTTGCATTTTAAATACACTTTTTTAAAGTATTTTACAATTAGTACTTTAAATGGAATTTGAAAAGCATTTTACCCAGTACTGGTAATTATATTTTATAAAAAAAAATTATAAATTTTACTACACTATATATGATATATAATAAAATGCTTCATTTATCAATTGTAATGTAATTTTTTTATAAACCCTGGTGAAAAAGTTTCGTTGAAATTATTCCACGTATTGGAACATTTCAGCGAAATTGCTGAAAATTCGCTGAAACATCATTGAAAATGAATTTTTCAGCTGACATACTGAAAAATCACTGAAATCCAATCGAAATTTCTCTAAAATTTTCTGAAATTTCTCTGAAATTCTTGCTGAAATTTTTCTGAAATTTTATCGAAAATGAACTTTTCAGTTAAAAATGGCTGAAATTAAAATGAAATTTTTTTGAAATGCTGAAATTTTGTTAAAAGGGGTTCCAAAACGTGGAATAATTTCAGCAACATTTTTCTACCAGGGAACTGTCGAAAAAAAAAAAAATTTGCCCCGGGTGAGGATCGAACTCACGACCTTAAGATTATGAGACTTACGCGCTGCCTACTGCGCTACCGAGGCTCTTGTTGCGATGCTTATTGTAAGTCTTAATATTTGGTAGAAGTTCAAGTTTAGGTTATGTTAGGTATATACACAAGTCGACCGTATAGCTGCACATGGCTAGCGGCAGCTGGATTTTTATTGTTGTGAGTTTATTCTGTGATCACTTTTGTTATCATTAATACGCTCTGTCCGAAACGATTAATTAATGGTGAACGATTAATTTAATGGTGAAACAATCTTCTGTCAAACGAAAGATTTGAATTTGGTTCCTGATTGTGTATTATATATTATTAGGAATTTTAAAGGAAAAAACATTCCACTCTGTGATAGACTCAAGTATCCAAAATCTAAACAAATTCAAAGTAATGCATTGTGATGTTGCTGCTTCTTTCAAAGAATGAAAATTCATATAATTATAAGTTAAATATCATTGAATTTAATCAGCATATACGATGATATTCTAGTTCTTTACTACACACGATGGATTATTCGTGTTCCAAGTTAATTTTCATCATTTTTACAAGTAAATTATTAAGTAAATCGTATATATATTTTAACATTTTTAGAATTTATAAAAAGATGTATATTAAAAAAAAAGAAATGGAGACTATTATTTAATCAAATATTTTAAAGAAAAGAAACATAGAGGACACGAATGACCAAATCATGTGTATTAAGTATTAATGGAAATGCTTTCTTCTAATAAAAGCAAAAATTTAGAAAGAAGAAAGGAAAACATGTTATGTCCGGAAACATGGAATTTCGAACCACTACCACATTACATCGCCACATTACATCTGGATGTGATGAAGAATGCAAATGTAATCTCATTAATGAAGAGTCATTACTTTAATCATTCGGTAAGCTAATAACTTCTTCAAAATTTAGCAAGTTTTCAAAATAACATCTTGACAATATTTGTTTTTTGTATGCCAGATATCCATGGTACTACCTGATACAGTTACCGTTCCTCAAAATTTACACAACTGTCTGTCAAAGGATACAGATTATTATCGAATAAACAGGCTGCATGTCAGCGATCTCTTAAACATAGAGTTTATCGAGGCTTTTGTTAAAAAAGGTGAGTCTATTATTGATTTCCTTTATATGTTTAAAGTAATTTGTGCTTTTATATACACACACACACACACACACACACACACTCTCCTATAACCTTTTCTACAACTGACAAGGTTGACAACAGATTATGGCCGCAAATAAAAAACATACTTTGTTATTGCTGGTACTGTTAGCATATTTCTACCTGCAAATATGCGATAATCTTGTCGGCAAAGTATATGACAGAGAAGCGATGAAAAGCGAGCAGGTTCAACGCGTTGATAACAAACTGACAGCAGATCTTAAGCAATTTTGCTATCACAAAAGTGTCAGCGTTTTTCACAAAAGAATGCAACATTATCTGTTCGTCAAAATATATTTGGCACCATTTTGCCGGTGCGTTAGACGACAGATTTGACCTGCATTTAGCATCAACCTGTCATCACATTGCTATTGTCAAATTGGTTCTGGTGTTGGTTTCAATTTGACTTCAAGATATGTTCTTCAAATATAGTTTACATTGGATATCCTATTGCGGACACAGTAGGCTCTAGTTTTGACATATTATTCCGCTGGAATAATTTATTGTCGATTTCATATTATCTTGCGTACAAATGTTTGCTGAGTAGTTGAGTCTAGAGACGTAAAAAGAACGGTATTTTTTACTTCGGAGAAAAGTATCGAGTAAAAACTAGTTTTTTACTATAGATAACAGTATTTTTTACCAAATTACATAAAATCATGAAAAAACATATAGTTATTTCAATATAACTATTTGAACGACAGATATTTTATATTTAAAAGCTAAATAAGTGATGTTATTAATACAGATAATATTTTATAAGCACATATACATAATAGACACTATTTTGTTGCATATCGGTTACTAAATTGTACTCTATATTTTAATGATTTTGAGACAACATCCCAATATAATATTGATTCAGGAGTAATTAGAGATTCAATGAACGTTGTCTCACTAATTTAAATTTAGAGTATGTATAATCGCAATCATAATATACAACCAAAACAATGTCAATTAATCTAATAAAGTATTATTTGTATTAGTAACAGTATGGAACACTTAGTTAACTTTTAAAATTAAAGTACAGTATAAAATATATAGCGCTCAGTAAGCTCTTGCATCTGATTGGCATATTCCATTAGATCTAAAAATATAGACCAAACAGGTACAAGGGACCAGTGAGCGCTCAATGAGCGGTCGTGCTTCTGGATGCACCTAATTACGTTTCACCCAAGAAGACTAGAACCAGGAGAGTCAACTCGGCGTAAAAGCGGTAGTGGGGGTGAGGCAAGAAGTGGAAACGAACGACACCCCCCACTCTTGCGCTTCATCCTCTCTGTTGCTCTACATAGTCGGTTTCAATTCGTGACTGCGCATGTCAACGTACCTTGTTTCTGTTTGATTGAATTTTGAACTAAACATAAACCGTAAAAATTTAATCCGATGTGATTTACGATGCCCAAGCGAGTGTGCTGTGTTCGAAATTGTGACTTCAATCCTGGAGATAAAGAAAATCGAAAAACAATATTCCAATTTTGTGAGGTACTCAGTGAACTACTGAGCATCGTCCTCAACAGGGGTTGGGGGTAAGCAGCGGGTGACGCTTTTTGACTCACCCCCACCACGCGAGTTGACTCTCCTGGTTCTAGTTCTTCTTGGGTTCTAGTCTTCTTGGTTTCACCGCTCACTAAGCACCACATAACCTTACGGCCGAAACACGGCATTAGGGAGCGTTAATATTGGCCGTAAATAACCATATGCCGTTTGCCGTAATCTGTAAGGGTGCCGTCACACAGTCCGTAATCCGCACCGGATGTCCGCAAAAGCATCTAGGGATTGCGTATGTACGGCAGATATTTCTCACGTAATCCGCTGCCGCAACTACGTCAAAAGAGAGTTCTAGTGCAGTCTAGTGCACGTCAGAAAACAGACCATTTGTTGTATTTGCACTAATAACATACTAGTATATCAAAGATTCGTTACGCACTTCTAATTTCAAAATTGTTGTCAAACAAATTAATCACTATTTCTAAATTAAAGGTAGGTTATGGCACATTAATTTTTGTTTGACGTCGGAGTGCAATTGCGTTGCGTGCTTACATGCTCCTTCTGTCCCATGGAGCCGCAAAATGCGGACGTGTAAATGTAATATTTTTTATTTAAGAAGTTATACTGTTTATTTTATTTTATAAGAAAATTATAGAATATATATTTTGATTATAACACAAAAGTTTTAATTAAATCGTCAAATTTAGTCAAACAGATAAAATTAGGAAAAGCATTACTGGTAATAACTAGTAATTTTTACGGAAATTTCATGGGACTACGACTCCATGGGACAAAAGGAGGTAAAACACACGTAACGTTACGGACGCAATACCTAATAGGGAGTTTTTGCAATAACGTGAATTCAGATAAGCGGTGAACGCTAAAGTCACGCTATCCTTTTCTTAATTACTTGTTAAGAAGAAGATAACCTGACCTTAGCGTTCACTATCTGGATAAACGCTATTGCAAAAATTCCCTAATAACTTTTGCAGACATCCGGTGCGGATTACGAATTACGGGCTGTATGTGACGGCACCCTAAGAAACTTTATGCTTTAAAATATATTTTATGACTTTCCACGCAAAACGACTCTCACTCCATCTCCCCCTCTGCTTAGCAGCGCATGACTTCCACGCGAAGCGACTCAAGCAGGGGAGGAGATGAGGTGAGAGTCGCTTCGCGTGGAAGTCGTGCGCTTCTGAAGCAGGGGGGAGGTAGGGTGAAAGTTGCTTCGCGGAAGTCGTAAAATATATTTTAAAGCAGGAAATTTCTGTTTCATATAGTAGAAAAGAGACACCATTTTTCAAACTTTGTTGAAGTCTAAATAACTCATTGTCAGAAACTGCAAGAGACCGCCATCTAGTTGTTAAGGCAAAATTACTCAGAATCATGTCACAACATATATCAAGGTGAAGGTCATCGGCACGGTGTCCCATAGTATGCATAATTACTATATTTTATATATATTTTTCTGCATTTTAAATTTTAGGGGAAATTAATCTCCTAACATTAGAAAATAAAATAGACTTGGAAAATTCTATTTGTGTAACTCCAACTGGATACTTAATACTCTCTTTATTGACGGATGATTATCAAGCTCTTGGTTTAGAAGGGAAACACTCTGCCTTCAGCCATAAATCTCATACGCGATACAGTAAGTTTCATACATATATACTCTGAAATTTGCATGCGCACAATTTTCCGCCGCGAATTGATTTGATAAGAAAAATGATTACTCCAAAACTTTTTAACTTAATTCAATGAATAATAGCTCAAAAGACGCACATAATGCTGTACTTTAATAAGGTATGCACGATTAAATATGGTAAACAAAATAAGAATACGGACCATACGGACTTACCATCTTATTTTCTGAAAAATTATTATCAGAATATGTAATTTCACCTTTTCTTACTTTTGCTGTTAACTACATTTTCAAATTATACAACTTATGGTTGTATCTGAAAAGAATTACGTCCAGCCTAGAAATTTCGCCGCGGTAGCGGCTCCATTTATCGGAAAAATGCTAAACCAAAATGCACACAATTACCCGCTGCGCACGATTATCCCACTTTCCCCTATATCTTTTTATATAAATTTTAATGTTTCTTTTTTCAATATACATCAAAAGTAGTGAGAATCGATCTAACAAATGAAAGTTTTATTCCTGGTAAAAGGAATTACGAAAGAGTTCGGATAGCATTGGAAGAACGACTCACCCAGAAGTTTGATGTTATAGTATCATGGGATCCACCAGGTTCACATTCATTTTTGCCTTTTTAAGAATATAGTATTCGTATGCATGTATGTATATATTTGGTCGTTATGTTAACAGTTTTTGAAATATGATCGGAACATCCCCTAAAGTGGTTCAATATCTAAAAAAAAATAACACGAATTTTTTCAGATGAGATTTAAACAATATTAACCCGTGCCACCGGGACGTAAACGTAATAGACGGAAAAGCACCTTTATGGACAAAATTCAGCCGACGCTCTAATTCTTAACCAATTTTATATTTTAATAATAAAGTTTTTTTTAATTGGCTCGAAATTGAATGAGCTATAAGCCCATTCTGGATAAATTTTGATAACGGTCCAAATTAAAAATAGCCGATCAATATTTCGTATAATTTTGATTTAGTTGCTCACTTTATTGGATCGGCCATTTTTTATATGGACTTTAATCAAAATTTCCGCAGAATGGGCATTTAGCTCATTCAATTTCGAATAAAATTTAAAAAAAATCTAAAATTAGTTAAGAATTAGAGCGTCGGCCGAATTTTGTCCACAAAAGTGCTTTTTCGCCTATATCGTGTCCTGGTGGCACGAGTTAATATTATTCAACAAATCGGAAAAAATTCTGATGTTATTTTCTTGAGATATTAAATGATACCACTTTAGACGATATCCCGATCAAATTTCAAAAACTGTTAAAATAACGATCATCCTAATGTATATTATACATACATTTTCTTTCTTACACAATTATTTCAATATTTCAGAGATCAGTATGTGCCCGTCGTCTATAGCAGCATGGTTTTACGCACGCAATTATAACGTTTATCTCTGTTGCCAGAAATTTTCCCAAAAAACCAAATATTCATTAACGATACCTACTTATGAGGACACATGTAATAACACTGATATCGATTTTTTTGAATGGCTCGGAGTCTTCAGCATTGATGGTGATCTGTACGCTCATTCGCATTTCAAAATAGTTTTCCGAATAACGATTGGTAATGCCGCAAGAATGTGACAATGACAGCTGTAACATTTTTAGATCTACTAAGGGAGAAGATGATTATACAAGTACATATCAGTGCCCTTCTCCTTCGATACATGTTAGACAGGTGCAGTATTTACAATGGACTGGATTCTTTACACGACAAAAGATCCAAGAAGTCTATAATACTCTAAAACAATATGTATTATCACGAGATACTTTACCATGGATTAGTTTAGACATACAAGGATTTACAGACAGTGCTATCAGCTTTGATTTGAAAGAGCATACGTTCTTGACTGATGGAGACAATAGTTACACTATTGTATTTCGACCGAAAGGTAAAGTCGTTATACGAAGAAATTTAAGTTCAAATAATAAGATAAAAGTACATCATTAACTTTTTCTTGTTAATAAATGCCTGTTTTATATTATACTCGTCAACAAAATTATAGCAACAAATTTATACCAAAATTTTGCATAATTTCAAGTAACCATAACTTCGTGAAAAATGGTGGTATTTAAAAGTTTTTTTTTTCATTCTCAAAGGGTAAAGTTTGTACTTTAAGAAGCTTTCGATAAATTTTAAATTCATCCTTACTTCCGCTCACTATCTTTTCTAAAATAAGGACGTGTTACGTTTCCAAAAAATTGTATAGTTTGACGTATTCTATGGGTCCAATGCATTTTTTTTTTCGCAAATGTCATGATAATCATCGTAAAGGATGGACTTTTTCTTGCAAATTAAAAATACAATAAAGCTTTGTACGATTTTTTATTACGGAGATTCGGCGTTTCAAAGTTATCTATACATTTTTGTTCAGTTACTGCTAACATTAGCATTATCCAATGCTCAAAGGGAGGTTGCTGGTTAGATGTTGCGCATTATGTGTCTGTATATATTTGTGTACTTATGTGCGTACGTGTGCATGTGCATATGCATATGCGTGTACAGTCATGGGCAGAAAGATAGCGACACTTTTTTTCGACGATTTTTGGAATACGCTCGAAAAAATTTTCAGAGTGCGATTCATCATCTATCGATACATGTAACGAGCGGTTATGACAGCTGTCAAAGTATACGTGGTGTAATATTGCTGTCAGAAATATGATAAAGCCTGCTAAAACATGTTATGCCAGCGGATTAGTGACAAAAATCGAGCAGAGTCTGCTCGAATTAGATTCTGCTCTCGATTTGTTCTCATTGTTAATCTGCCGTTAGATTACATAGGACTTTGTTCAGTTTCTGTCCTCAGTCTGCTGGCATAGCATGTCTAGCAGGCTTTGTCATATTTCTGACAGCAATTTGCTGACAATGTCAGTAATACAAACTCTGTGTACAATTGAGTTGTGTACACACTCTGCGTACAGTTGAGTCTGTCAATGAGCTTTATCGACAAGTCCATAGCCAAATGCGAATACAGATGGCTATGGTTTTATAGTCAAAATTTGATCGAGTTTGCTTCTAATTTGGTTCCAAACTTGCTAACATTTTGTTATCAGGGTATATTAATGTTCAAATGTACTTGGAAAATATACACATTCTGATTATTAATAGAATAAAACATTGTATTTATAGCTAAATATTTATATTTATTTCACATGCAAGCAATTGTAGATTATAAAAGCTGGAACTTTAATATTAAAGTTCATATTAAAGGTAATTCTACAATTTTCATCAAAATTATATCACCCAGTAAATGATTGGATTGAAATTTTTTCTATCCGAATGCGTATTTTAAATAGCGAAGACTTGTTTTTGGATTAATTGGATGGAAAAACTGCATTTCCTATTCAAAATTTTGGATTGAACGGTATTCACAATGCACAAAAATAATTGATATTATTTTTAGATTGAAAGGCATAGAGATATACTCCATGCAATTCCTATAAATGAATAAAAATTCAGGATTGAAAAGCCATTCATTTTCACATTCGTTAATCCATATTTCTGAAAATCTGTATCCATTTCAATCCATTCTCGTTTACTGGGCATTCAATTACAAATAAAATGTAATTAAATTATACTTTAAACAATGTATAAAATTACAGAAATTCTACTGAACTTTACTAAACAGATTAAACTCACTTCTACACTTAATATAATTCACAAACACAATTAAATGTGACACTGTACATCGTACATAAATGAATGCTCTTCATGCGGAACATTTTTCATGGCTACTTCCAATCCATGTAGTTAGAGGTGCGTTCCAGTGCGTTCCGAATTACGCATGAAGCGCGTAAACTGCATAAAAAGTCGTTCCGAATTAGCTAATGTGCGCGCGCTTCGAGAGCGTTAAGCTGGAAACACAATAGACTCAGGCAATAGACACAGGCAACAGGAAATAACGAGCCGTCCAATCAGAGCTCTGGAGTATAAGTTCGATATTGTATCCCAGAGCTGTGATTGGACGGCTCGTTATTCCCTGTTGCCTGTGCCTATTGCCTATGGTTGCGTTCAGCAGACTCAACAGTTTTGCAACCGTTTTATGATTGTCTGCTGAGATAGGACCATTCTTCTAGATCTAAAAGTATGATCCAATCAGCGCGAAGGAAACTTCCAACAGTTGCAAAACAAACGTTCTGCTGAACGCAGCCTATGTCTATTATGTTTAAGACTACGAACTCCTCAGATTGTACATACGTACTAACCGTACTGAATTCTTACGCCTAATTCACACTGGACGCAGCAAGCGTCAAGCAGCGGAAGCAGCAACCAATTAGCTGGGTGATACGGGCGGTGGTGTAAAAAAAAATATTTTTTATGCCATTGTAAAAATCACTCGTTAGCACTCCTTCTAGCGCTTTGACTGAGGCAGTGAAAGCGTCCAATACGTTGATGCAGTCTATGTGTTTGTTGAATAATTCGGAACTCGCTCGGAGATTGCACCAACTGCACACTGAAAAAACTTTGTAACAAAACGAATGGATCAAGATTAATTATTGAATTGTCCCGATGTTAATAGAGAAGAAAAAAACAAAGTTGTGACTTTATATTTGAATAAAGAAGAATAATGGCTTTTAGAATAAATCAAATAATTAATGAAAGGAACATTAAAGCCTACAGCCTGTTTCTTAATGTGATAAATAATTTTTATATAAAACTATCATGTAATAACATAATAAATATATGAATGTTTCAACTTTACATTAGTTCATTATCTGCGCAGTATACGTACGGTCGCGAAGTTAGAATTTTAAACAATAAACTTTCATCATGGTCTAACATTTTTGCACAATAAATTTATATGAACATTTGATTGTCGTGACGATAGTACAGATAAAACAATTACGGCTGCCAATAGGCGAATTTTGACGTGCTTCTGATATAGCAATCAAAAGCAACCGTGGTTGAGGCTATCTTCATTTTCAGAGATCAAAAGACAAAGACAGCCCCGACCGCGGTTGCTTTTGGTTGCTACACCAGAAGCACGCCAAAAATCGCCTGTGACCGCTTCGTGAGTGGAACGCCCCCTTATGGTTCCTGCACACTGGACGCGGAAACGCTTGCCGCACAGCAAAATGTGACGCGTAGCCAATAAGCTTACAGCTCCTAACATGGTCATTGGTTACCGCGTCTCATTTTGCCGCGCGGTAAGCATTTCCGCGTCCAGTGTGCAGAAACCATTATATCTATGGTGTCAAATGCGATTAGTCAATTCCAATGGACTAATCAGTCGATTAAGGCCGTGTTCGTATATCGCTGATAGTTGTCAATACAGTATAATATACGTAACGGGAACTATAGATTTTCAGTGGTGTGTGTGTATACTGGCAGTTAACTGATAGTAATATACGAGCATGGCCCAAGTTAATCGAAGTTGGTAAAAGTGGCCCTAAATTGTTGCGATTCTGACGATCAAAAATCAAAATCAAGCACAAGTATTTAGTATTCTTATTGAATGAGGAATCGGATTATACAAGGAAAATATTTTCGGTAATTATTCAGAATACCTCCCTCACCTCCGATTTCGATGAAATTATTTTCAAGTAAATCACTATACACTGAGATAATCTAAAAGATTCAATTTATTTTATCACGATAAAATAGAAGACAGTTGATAGCTATAAATCATGCATGTTATTGATATATATCATTTTAATGTAAATGTGATAAGTTAATAACAGGACATAAAGGGACAAGAGGTGCAGTAAAAAGTAAGAGACAACACAGAAACAGTCAACGACAACTAAAAGATTGCAACGCTTTTTTTTCAATGGGTTTCAGAATGCAGCCTACTCACCGAGCGATTGGTTCTTACTTATGGATCCATAAATAAGAACCAATTGCTCGGTGAGCAGGTTGCATCCAAAACCTGTCAAAAAGAAATTGTCGAAAATTTTTTAGTTGGTGACTGTACATAATACATATATTTGACTACTCTCTAAAGAAAGTGAAAGATATATACAGAAGTTAAATATGCCTATACTTATTGCACAATATATTATACACAATAAATAAGAAAAAGTTGTTCTCTCTCGCAGATTATATATAATTTATAGAGTCGGACCGAAATTTCAGTTTCGCGGTTTTGGTCAGTTTCGGTAAAAAATCAGGGTTTCGATTTGATTTCGGTTTCGGCTGAAATTAAGAGAAAATTTCAGTGGGTAAATCGAAACTGTGCAAGTTGAAACGCACCGGTGAGCGTTCAAAAAATAACTATTCGATTTTAATTATTAACTATCGTTGATTAAACTTAAGACAAAATTTGATATGACCTTAATGATAAATGTGATTTGATTTCTTTAAAAGTTGAGGATGTAATATCATTACATTATTGTAGTTAGATATATATTTCAATAAAATCTTATTTTTTAAAGAGTACATAAATTTGTCATGATTTTTGAAAATCATACGGTCTCTGTTAAAATTAATTCAAAAATGTCGATTTCGACTCCGTCTGAAAAAAATGTGACTCCGTTAGCTTCTCTCTCTCTCTCTCTCTCTCTCTCTTTGTAAGACTTATCCAAGTTTCGGTTTCGTTTTCGGCCGAAATTCAATGACAACCGAATATTAGTTTTCGGTTTCGGCCGGAGATCAAAATGTGGTTTCGATCGGACTCTAATATAATTTCATCCCTTACTTTAAACATGCGTACCATTTGGCGCTTAACGACAACGCTCGCGAGCATTATTTGTCCTTGTTCAGCATTTAATACATAACAAGGATAAAATGATTTCATGAGCGTCAAGTGGAACGCATCCTAAATTGTTCGGTAGTTTCATACATCGCTTGTCTTTTTATTAACTGATATTAACAATATAAATACTACGAGACTTCTGAGCTATCATAAATATAATGTTACATTTAACCACATACGTTACACACTATTTTGACTGCCTGAAGCCTATCACATGATAAAAGAGATCTGAATAAACTTAATATTATTATTTTGTAGTATTATATGCATCAGAGCGTAAAGTCGATTCTTGTAAATAGATTCATATATAAAAAAAATAATACGTAAAAAAATAAAACTAAAATATTTAACTATGGACCGGTCTCATCAACTCTGATTAGCCTAATCAGTCGATTAAGTGTCAACCATTATCGGTTAATTCTGCTGAACAGCAAATGCGATTGGTCAATTCCAAAGTAACAATCGGTCGATTACGGTAATCGGAGTTGATAAGACCGGCCCTATGAGGTCAAAACAGTTTATAATATTATACATATAATAAAATCTGTTTAAGCAGGCATATCTTTGTAAACAGTAGCAAACATTTTTTTTGCATTGAATATAATTTCAGGATAATGTAAAATATAGGTATCTTTAAAAAGTTAAATCATGTATCTATATCAGGACATTTGGATTAATTTTCAGATTAATATGTGAGAACTATCCGCCTCATTGAATTTTACTCTAGAACTATAATATAAATCTTCTATACCTGAAGCAACGGACATACGAGACTTAGAACGAGCCATAAGTTCACCTATTTCGTCGAGATCTCGATACCTAAAAAATATAAATAATTAGTCTGTCATGTAATCGCAATTCACTTATTAACGCACTGCACTGTCACATTAAATACATATGCATTGAATACATACCTACTAACAGGCCGACTAGGATTTTCAGATGATTCCGATGAATGTTTCATAGTCGAAAATCCATCATCCACATTAAATGATGCTATGTTACCTACGTAAGCATGATAATCTATTATAAAGATATGCTGAATTCAACTAAATAATAACTTCGTAAAAAAGAAAAACATAAATATTACCAGAGGGAAATAATATAGTATGTTTTAGTAGATCACCACTGATAAATGGAGATAAACTGTCATCATCATCCGGTAACATATGATTGATCGAATCTGTTCCTATCGACTCAACCATTTCCAACCATTGCTGGTTATGCGATCGGAACTTTTCCACTTTTATGCGGACTGCCCAATTCTTGTCGCATATCTAGAATAAGTTGAATAATTAGTAATTCTGATAACACCACATAAATTAGTTTCTCATAGCGTATTATTTAATACTCAT